CCATTAAAATAAATCGCATAGGAAATGCATTGAATGTAAGGAATACCGGTAAGAAGATAAGTGAAAAAAACGAGTGCAACTAGTCTTTTCTTAGCTTGGTTCTAATCATAGTCACTTCGCTGTACTTTTAGCTTACTCTTTCTCTCTCGCATTAAGACCAAAAACAAAAAATAGGCTCATCAACAAAACCAGGCGTCTCTGATCTTGCGCAATCGGAGTGATGGTTAAGGGGGAGACAGTGGTCATGAAACCTTGATGGCCGAAAACAGACGTTACTTTTGCTGTTCTAATTACTTTGAGACATTACTGCGGGTTTCGTGCATGAGCGAACACAAAAAGGCACATTCACATACAGAGACAGACACGCTCACAGGCTTCGAAGTTGATATATGATCGTAACTAACCAAATTACTTTATACCTGATCAAAGAGACCAGATATAGAGTATATATACCGCTTTTTAGCGATTTTCCGGTGAGTTTTCTTGACTCATTAGCTTGAATTTGGTTGTGACGATAATATCTTGCTCTGATTATGTTTGTCATATGACGGACGAATGTTTAGAACCTTTTCACCTGAATCGAAAGAGAATACCTCGGAAACAGTGTCACCATGAATGTTCCAGTAAAGCCAATCGACAGCTGGTCAAGAGGAATCCGCAGTCGTCTTCTGGTGGAATCGACCTTCGAATCTCTTCACTCGAAATGAAAGTAAGCAAAATAAGAATAATGCGAGTCTAAATAGACAGGGTTGACTTCTCAGGTCGGTCCTGAGAGAACAGCCTTTTGAAATGCATATTAAAACGAGGCCTAATGACCAAAAGTACAGATTTCTCCAATCCAAGTCGCGATACTACCTGAAGAATTCTACCTCCCTAGTTCGCATGATTTAATGCAGGTCTGATAGTCGAATTTTCCTGCGATTCCTTCGAACTCCACTTAGTTCTACCTTCCAAAACCGTATTCTCACCGTTTCGACCCGGCCCTCATAACGGCAATCGTATATTCTTGACTGAAAACTTTTGTAAGAATGAATTCCGTTTGAAACGATGCCTATCAAGTGGCTCAACCCTTTTTTACTCGAGCTAAGGGAGCATCGGATTACAACCAAAACGACCGTGAAACAGTTGTAAGCATAAATTGACCCACACAACTTTCTACACTAAGTGAAAATCACCCAAATCTGCCAAACTTTATCCTGCCCTACTGAAGTGTTGTTTCAACCTTATTTCTACAGTCCGATGCCTATGAGCGGCCCTAAAAGGAGAGTCGTAAAGAGGAACCTCGAGACTCACATCATCCGCGTGTCCCTCAAGAGTGTGCAACAGACGCTCGTCGGGCATCGTCCACACGCGCACCAACTGGTCCTGTGCTCCGGTGACCAGATACTGGCCGTCTGAAGACAACCGGATGCAGTGGACCACGCCAGTGTGTGGAGGCAGTAGAGCCGGGTTGCCACCCTCCAGAGTGGCGTTGATCTGGATCTGACGGACCGGCCGTCCCGTGTGTAGGTTCCACACGACCAGCTCTCCCTTGCGAGTGCCTGAGGAGTAAGTAAAAAATAGACACTCGTGTAAGTATGCGCATGTGTTTGTGTTTGTATATAGAAAAGAGGAGTATTTCCAGACATGCATTTAAACAAACCCACATATACAGGCATGATTAGTAGGAGTGACTCATCATAATTCCATCGGCAAATTGAGCAAGTGAACTCGAGACAAACTTAGAAGTTGCTTGACCTTGTTTTCGCAACATGGTCATATTGGTAGGAAGACTTATTGAAACGCACCTAGTCCGGGGTCCATTGTCTGCATGATCATTTCCAAAGTTGAACCATGGACGGGGTAGATTTCCAAACGTTTCGCCAGCATCTTAGTCGGCATCGTCAATGAGTATCGTCATTCTTAGCACCGCACAACAACTCGTCAAAGAGACAAGTTAAGCCGATCCTTTAACCAGACTTGTGCTAAACAATTTTGGTATCTCCTCTTCTGCCCTGG